CACATACCGCGCAAAGAAGCCCTTACAAAGAATACCCTAGATTCTAAACTCTGAAAGCTCCCAAGAAACTCTCCAGTACACCCTTACACTAAACGGAATACCCTAAATCCTAAACCCCTACGGCCCGAAAACCCTAAACCCTAAACCCTCAATTAAAGCCTAAAGCCTTAAAGCCTCGAGCCCTACGCCCCCAAACCCTAAGAAACCCAGAGAACCTCTACGAAACCCGAAGGCCTTAATATAGGGGCCTTCATAATTAGAATAGGGTGTTGTGGTTCATACTATAACTATAATAAGGAGCTCCCAAAACAGTAATAGGTAATTATCATGGCCCCTATATTATCTCCCTGTAATAGCCCGTATATACCCCTTTAAAGGAACCCTCAAAGGAAGAGTATAATAGGTAATAATTACTACGGCCACTCCATAATAGTCCTTGTAATAGGCCTTATATACCCCATTAAAGGAATCCTTAAATGCACAGAACAATAGGTAGCTATGTCCCTTTAAACGAACCCTTTACAGGAACCCTATAGGTACTTATTAAGGCCACTCCAACGCCGTCCCAGGCACATGCCGAACTGTGTGACCATGGCTCGAGCCATGCGCTCCACCTGCCCCAAAGCGCACGCCCTAAAAAAACCCGAGAACCCTGGGGGGGGTTGTCGTTTTAGGATTTCAGAGCTCCTTTGAGGGTTGAGAATATTTTGCAGGGTTAGGGTTTAGGGTTGCGTTCCTTGTCGTGTTTTTGGCAACCCGAAAAAACCCCAAGAATTCAGCGGGGGCTTGGGGTTCAAGGTTTGGGGTTCCTTCTGGGGTCAAGACTCTTTCGAAAAGGTTAAAACCCTAACATTTCCTTTTGAGAGCTAGAAGGGGTTCCTTTAAAAGGGCTTCGGGTTTGGGGTGTTTTGGACCCTTTTAACCCTAAGTGGTTTTATTCTCTCAAGGATACCATAACAATCGATAAGGGTTAATCCACGGGTTGCTGAAAGGCTCACTATAAACCCTGCAAGACAGCAAACCCGATGCATAGGGCCGGTATTGCGTGGAATAGGGGTTCCTTTAGAGGGTAACTCTATTATACCGCCCTAAGAACACAGGATTTCGGGTTTTGGGCATGGCTTTAAGGCTCATCAGGTTCAGGGGCCTTGTAGACTTTTGGGTCGGGCTTTTGGGTTACAAGGCTGGAGGCTAAAGGTTCGGGATTTGTTGAAGCCATCGCATAAGCAATATAATAAGAGCCCTTACCTGATGCAGGTCTGGTGAAAACACGTGGCATGCGGTCGAGCGGGATTCTGCTGGACGAACACTTGCAAATCGGCCGTGTGGAGGTCCAAAGCCACGGGTATGGAATCTGCATTGTACAAGTCCAAAAGGAGTACCTAAGAGCTTCCGCAGAAGTCGCGTCCAAAGCCGAGATGCAGCAAATGCATTATGTCGGGGCGAAACAAAGAGGGAGCATCGTGCCGGAAGTGTGGCATGTATTCCAAAGACAGAGGGATCCTTGCCCACGGGTATGGGTTGTTCCGGCCACTCGTCGGCAGCCATGATGGCAAGGTTGCAAAGTCTTCGAATTGATGCCCCTCCGTGCCAGCTAGGCACAAATGGCAACAGCCACAGGGCTTCTTGCTTTTAGCCGTTGGAACAGCTTTGCGAACGTTGAGAAATGTTCGCAAAAGAAAACCTGCCTTCTGTATGAATGGCAGATCCCCCTTCACTCCCAACAGAACCGGAGCCGCTTGCCATCAGGAAGGTCCAGCCCTTCGTTGTGCAGTTTGAACATATTCTGCATCGTGCCTTCCAAAAAGTTCAGAAAGCAATGTTCATCATCCTCGTACAATGCCTTCTGCATAACACCATACAAAAAGCACGTCATGAAACTGTGCTTCGGCAAGTTCACACCTGCCACACCTGGTCCATGCACAGGGTGTGAAGTACGACTGAAATGGACCATCACTGTAGGCAGTTGCAAGCTATGCGGGGCTGTCCAGGCATGCCTTTTGGTAAGACCGGAAGTACTTCTCTACTTCGACATGGTATTGGTAGTCCCCCTTTAATGCCGTGCATTGCACACCTTGCTGACCTACATTCATGCAACAAGTGGGTCAGTCCCTTACTCACCTCCTCTGGATAAACGTCAGCAACTTCAGGCCGTGCTTTGAACATCTTGGAATTCATACACGTAGTTGCCGGGAAAATGATGAACAAATCACACCCTGTCGTCGGGGTTTATAGGGTGCAGGGCTTGGGGTTTAGGGTCTACGTTGCAGTGGCGCCAATAATGTGGCGCCCTAGACAGTCTAGCTTTTCAGTATCCCGTGTAAACCAGGGTGCCCCTGCTTTTGTAAGTATTCAACCATATTTATTGGGAAACCCGCAAAGCGTGTAATTATGGGTGCTGCCGGCCAACGCTAGGCTAGTACTAGGATTTCTCAAACTCAAGCCCTGAACACTAAACCGTTGAATCAAACGCCCTAAACCTTATAGGCCTCCATAGAGACACTGAACCCCTTCCCCTCCCTCTCCCGGGACCTGTTGGAGATCGCCGCCAGCGCCTGTCGTGACCTTCACCAGGACTTCAGAGTTTGCAGCTTGTCTAGGGATGTAGTATTTAATTTAAGGCTACTGTGTAGCGTCTAGTGCATATAGGGCGAGTTGTTTAAGGGATCAGGTTGACACACTTATTGGGCTAGGGTTGCGTTTGAGTGTTCATATAGGGGCCTTGATAATTAGAATAGGGTCTTGGTGCATAGCTACTCTAAGGAACCCCCACAAGAGTATTGGCAATCTAGGCCCCTATGTTAGGGCATGACAGCAACTCCCCGTGGTCTGAACCCGAGCTTCACCCGCAGGAGAAGGTACATTAATATCCAAACTCCGATAAACATGAACATAATATAGGTCGGAATGGTTAGTACATAATTGTATCCCACAGATTCTACTCATCGTATACAGTCTACTACTATAACTTGGAACCTTGTTCCAACCTTAAACCCGTATAGTTACACCTCACGAGGAAACCCAATTTTTCTATATATTCCAAACTAGTATATGGTATACGCTATACTATTAGACTCTTTACCCTAAGCTCCAATCCCCAGTAAACGAAAAAAGCTGGAGTTTGAAGTAACCGGGGGAAGAAAGTACACACTTTTATTTCATAATGGCTCCTTTAAGGAACAGGTACCAAGAAGTATTCAAGTATGATATACTCCAAACCCAGGTTTATACAAGTGATATGTTACAGGTTGTAGGGATCACTGTTCAGGCTTTTGGTCTCTGAAATGGGACTTCAAGGCAAAATGGTAGTATGCATGCGCTCCAAACCCAGGAAAAATGTTTTCAGTGACTCTTTCCCCCCCCCCCCCCCGCCTGGCTCGTGCCAAAGACCTCAGCTTCGCTCTATCCCGGGTAAGATATTGAGAGGATGTAGTAACCTTAGCCTGCCAAGCCCTACTTTGTTTTAGGTTCTTACTATAAACCCTTATCTGGATTTATAGGGACCCTACAAGAAAAGTAGGTTTTGGTAGGTTAAGGAAGGCTTACGGTTTAGGGGTAAAGCTTTTTCATCCTAGGGCTTTTTTGAGTGTTTCATAGGGTTTGGGGATTAGGGAATGGGCTTCTTCATTGCAGGGTTTAATACGGTTCCCCGTAAAGTTTACAAGGGTTTCATTGGCTTTGAAAACCTTCAATTCGAGTGTTTAAGAGGGCTGACTAGGATTCATAGTGGTTTAAGGTTCTTGTTTAAAGGGTTTCTAAGGGTTAATTAGGGAGTAGGACTAGTTGGAGTTATAACTTCTAGGACCCTGTATTATCTCTCAAGAGTTTCTTGCCGGCCTTTATTAAAGGGACACTGTGGGGGCCTGGTTTGAGCTTCCATGGCTTGAGGATATGGACCTGCTTCACTTCCCCTCCCGAGGTTGGAACCTCCCTCAACCGTACTTGGAGGTTCATGAATAGTTATAAGCAGGGTTATAAGTCCCCTAATATGAATTATAGGTATTGCTACCCTACTTATAACTCTACTTAGAACTACCCATGAACCTCCAAGTAAACCCCAAACCTAATCTTCAATAGGTACAGGCTGCCAGCTGCTCCGCCGCGCGACCGCCTGGGCCGGCAGGTCGGGTCTAGGGTTTAGGGATTAGGCTTTGGGGGTTTAGGGGTTTAGGGTTTAGGAGTTTAGGGGTTTACGGGTTTAGGGTTTGGGAGTTTAGGGTTTAGGGATTAGATTTTTTTTTTAGGGTTTTGGGTTTAGAGTTCATAAGGGTTTAGGGCTTTAAAGGTTAAGGGTTTAGGGGCTTAGAGTTTAGGGTTTAGGGCCCCTTTCTTCTCCTCTTGGCTACACGGGTTTTATAAGGCTTTTCAAAGGTGCAAAGAAAAACTCTTTGGGGTTGTAGTTAATCTAACTATGTGGGCTTTAGAAAGGTTTAGAAGGCGTTGACGAATGTATACGTTAACCCCACGTAACCTACTTTCTCAAGGACTTATATAAAGAAATCATATTAGGGAACCCTAAAAAAGGTAGGTTCCTGAGGGTCCAGGTAAGGCTGTATAGGGTTGCTTTAGCAGATCATGGGCCTTACAGCTTATCCAGCTCCTTTTTTTTTTTTTTTTTTTGTCAAGCTTTACGAGGATGTGTGAGCGCTGTACAGCAAAACCCCTGCAAAACGAACGCTTTACAAAAGCCAGTTAAAACCCAACAGAATCCCATTATGCCACTACATGAGCCTTACTTGTAACCCCGAATCCTACATCCTACAAAAATCAACAGGCCATGACCCCTTTAACCCAGAAACTATAAGTTTGGGATCCCCAACAAACTAACACCCTAATCCCTGCACCCTTACGCCCTAAACCCTAAACTGCTAAACCTTAAACCCCTAAGCCCTAAATCCTGAACCCCTAAACCCCTAAACCCCTACACCCTCAACCATCCTAAACCCTAAGCCCTAAACCCCTAAACAACCATCCTAGACCCCAACACCTACGCCCTCGAAGCCCAGAAACCCCATAGATCCCTTGAAAAGGAACCCTGTAAATCCCTTTAAGGAGCCCTATAGATCCCTTAAAAGGAGCCCCATAAATCCCTTTAAGGAGCCCTATAGATCCCTTAAAAGGAGCCCCATAAATCCCTTTAAGGAGCCCTATAGATCCCTTAAAAGGAGCCCCATAAATCCCTTTAAGGAGCCCTATAGATCCCTTAAAAGGAGCCCCATAAATCCCTTTAAGGAGCCCTATAGATCCCTTAAAAGGAGCCCCATAAATCCCTTTAAGGAGCCCTATAGATCCCTTAAAAGGAGCCCCATAGATCCCTTTAAGGAGCCCTATAGATCCCTGTAAGGAACCCTATATATCCTTGAACAGGAGCCCGAGATCCCTTAAAAAGAGCCCTATAGATCCCTTTTAAGGAACCTTTTAAGGAACCCTATAGATCCTTAAAAGGAGCCCTATATATCCCTCAAAAGGAGCCCTCTAGATCCCTTTAAGGAACCCTATCCGCCGACCCCTGCGGGCGGCGCCCGTGATATCCCGAGAGGTGTCCGCACCCACACCGCTTCCACCGCCTCCACCGCTCTGTTCAGAGAGTCTTTCTCCGCTGTAGTTGTAGGTGTTTAAAGAGTATGTAAAGGCTGGCAATGTGTGCCCGGACCTCTCCGCGCCCCACTGCCCCCACCGTCCTCACCGCCCCCACCGCCCTCACAACCTCCACCACCGCCCTGTTTAAAGAGTCCTTCACCGCTGTATTTGTAGGTGTCAAAAAAAAAATAAGAGTATTTAAAGGCTGCCAATGTGTGCCCAGACCCCTCCGCGCCCACACCGCCCCTACCGCCACCGCCGCCCTTACTTTTACAAAGTATTTAAAGGCTGCCAATGTGTGCCCGGACCCCCCCGCGCCCCCACCGCCCACACCGCCCCCACCGCCCACACCGCCCTCACCGCCCTCACCACCCCCACCACCTTCATCCCCCTCCACCGCTTTCACCGTTCCCACCGTCTCCACCGCTCTCACCGCCCGCTGTATTTGTAGGTGTTTAAAGAGTAAAGAGTATTTAAGCCTGCCGATGTGTGCCCGGACCCCCCCGCGCCCCCACCGCCCACACCGCCCCCACCGCCCACACCGCCCTCACCGCCCTCACCACCCCCACCACCTGCATCCCCCTCCACCGCTTTCACCGTTCCCACCGTCTCCACCGCTCTCACCGCCCGCTGTACTTGTAGGTGTTTAAAGAGTATAAAGAGTATTTAAAGCCTGCCGATGTGTGCCCGGACCACCCCGCACCCCCACCGCCCACACCGCCCACACCGCACCGCCCCCACCGCCCACACCGCCCTCACCGCCCTCACCACCCCCACCACCTTCATCCCCCTCCACCGCTTTCACCGTTCCCACCGTCTCCACCGCTCTCACCGTCCGCTGTATTTGTAGGTGTTTAAAAAGTAAAGAGTATTTAAAGGCTGCCAATGTGTGCCCGGACCCCCCCGCGCCCACACCGCCCACACCGCCCACACCGTCCCCACCGCCCACACCGCCCCCACCGCCCACACCGCCTTCACCGCCCTCACCACCCCCACCACCTTCATCCCCCTCCACCGCTTTCACCGTTCCCACCGTCTCCACAGCTCTCACTGCCCGCTGTATTTGTAGGTGTTTAAAGAGTAAAGAGTATTTAAAGGCTGCCAATGTGTGCCCGGACCCCCCCGCGCCCCCACCGCCCACACCGCCCACACCGCCCCCACCGCCCACACCGCCCTCACCGCCCTCACCACCCCCACCACCTTGATCCCCCTCCACCGCTCTCACCGCCTGCTGTATTTGTAGGTGTTTAAAGAGTAAAGTTGAAGCCTGCCAATGTGTGCCCGGACCCCCCCGCGCCCCCACCGTCCGCACCGCCCACCCACACCGCCCACACCGCCCCCACCGCCCACACCGCCCTCACCGCCCTCACCACCCCCACCACCCCCTCCACCGCTTTCACCGTTCCCACCGTCTCCAACGCTCTCACCGCCCGCTGTATTTGTAGGTGTTTAAAGAGTAAAAAATATTTAAAGGCTGCCAATGTGTGCCCGGACCCCACCGCCCACACCGCCCTCACCGCCCTCACCACCCCCACCACCTTCATCCCCCTCCACCGCTTTCACCGTTCCCACCGTCTCCACCGCTCTCACCGCCCGCTGTACTTGTAGGTGTTTAAAGAGTAAAGAGTATTTAAAGGCTGCCAATGTGTGCCCGGACCCCCCCGCGCCCACACCGCCCACACCGCCCACACCGTCCCCACCGCCCACACCGCCCCCACCGCCCACACCGCCTTCACCGCCCTCACCACCCCCACCACCTTCATCCCCCTCCACCGCTTTCACCGTTCCCACCGTCTCCACAGCTCTCACTGCCCGCTGTATTTGTAGGTGTTTAAAGAGTAAAGAGTATTTAAAGGCTGCCAATGTGTGCCCGGACCCCCCCGCGCCCCCACCGCCCCACCGCCCCCACCGCCCACACCGCCCTCACCGCCCTCACCACCCCCACCACCTCCATCCCCTCCACCGCTTTCCACCGTCCCACCGTCTCCACCGCTCCACCGCACCGCTCCGCTGTAATTTGTAGGTGTTTAAAAGAGTAAAGATTCATTAAAGGCTTTGCCGATTTTGTGCCCGGACCCCCCCCGCACCCCACCGCCCCCACCGCCCACTCACCTACACCGCCCCCACCGCCCACAACCTCCCTCACCGCCCTCACCACCCCCACACCTTCATCCCCCTCCAACCGCTTCCGGTCCCACCATCTCCAACCGCTCTCAATCACACCGCCCCCCTGTATGTGTAGGTGTTTTAAGAGTAAAGGTAATTTAAAAAAAGCCTGCTGATGTGTGCCCGGACCACCCCGCACCCCCACCGCCCACACCGCCCACACCGCCCACACCGCCCCCACCGCCCACACCGCCCTCACCGCCCTCACCACCCCCACCACCTTCATCCCCCTCCACCGCTTTCACCGTTCCCACCGTCTCCACCGCTCTCACCGCCCGCTGTACTTGTAGGTGTTCAAAGAGTAAAGAGTATTTAAAGGCTGCCAATGTGTGCCCGGACCCCCCCGCGCCCACACCGCCCACACCGTCCCCACCGCCCACACCGCCCCCACCGCCCACACCGCCTTCACCGCCCTCACCACCCCCCACCTTCATCCCCCTCCACCGCTTTCACCGTTCCCACCGTCTCCACAGCTCTCACTGCCCGCTGTATTTGTAGGTGTTTAAAGAGTAAAGAGTATTTAAAGGCTGCCAATGTGTGCCCGGACCCCCCCGCGCCCCCACCGCCCACACCGCCCCGACCGCCCACACCGCCCTCACCGCCCTCACCACCCCCACCACCTTCATCCCCCTCCACCGCTCTCACCGCCTGCTGTATTTGTAGGTGTTTAAAGAGTAAAGAGTATTTAAAGCCTGCCAATGTGTGCCCGGACCCCCCCGCGCCCCCACCGTCCGCACCGCCCACCCACACCGCCCACACCGCCCCCACCGCCCACACCGCCCTCACCGCCCTCACCACCCCCACCACCCCCTCCACCGCTTTCAGCGTTTCCCACCGTCTCCACCGCTCTCACCGCCCGCTGTATTTGTAGGTGTTTAAAGAGTAAAAAATATTTAAAGGCTGCCATGTGTGCCCGGACCCCCCGCGCCCACACCGCCCACACCGCCCCCGCCAACTCCGGCCCCTCACCGCCGATCACCTCACCCACCACCAATCAACCCCACAGCTTTCGCCCCACACCGCCCCCACCGCCCACACCGCCCTCACCGCCCTCACCACCCCCAACACCTTCTCCCCCTCCCCACCGCTTCACCGTTCCCACGTCTCACCCTCCACCGACAGCTGTATTTGTAGGTGTTTAAAGATTAAAGAGTATTTAAAGGCTGCCATGTGTGCCCGGACACCCTCCGCGCCCACACCGCCCCACCGCCCCACCGCCCACACCGCCCACACCGCCCTCACCGCCCTCACCACCCCCACCTTACATCCCCCTTTCACCGTTCCCACCGTCTTCACCGCTCTCACCCCGCTGTATATGTAGGTGTTTAAAGAGTAAAGAGTATTTAAAGGCTGCCAATGTGTGCCCGGACCCCCCCGCGCCCACACCGCCCCACCGCCCACACCGCCACACCGCCTCACCGCCCTCACCACCCCCACCACCTTCATCCCCCTCCACCGCTTTCACCGTTCCCACCGTCTCCACCGCTCTCACCGCCCGCTGTATTTGTAGGTGTTTAAAGAGTAAAGAGTATTTAAAGGCTGCCAATGTGTGCCCGGACCCCCCCGCGCCCACACCGCCCCCACCGCCCCCACCGCCCACACCGCCCACACCGCCCACACCGCCCCCACCACCCACACCGCCCTCACCGCCCTCACCAACCACACCACCTTCATCCCCCTCCACCGCTTTCACCGTTCCCACCGTCTCCACCGCTCTGACCGCCCGCTGTATTTGTAGGTGTTTAAAAAGTAAAGAGTATTTAAAGGCTGCCAATGTGTGCCCGGACCGCGCCCACACCGCCCCCACCGCCCCCACCGCCCCCACCGCCCACACCGCCCACACCGCCCCCACCGCCCATGCACACCGCCCTCACCGCCCTCACCACCCCCACCACCTTCATCCCCCTCCACCACTTTCACCGTTCCCACCGTCTCCACCGCTCTCACCGCCCGCTGTATTTGTAGGTGTTTAAAGAGTAAAGAGTAATAAAGGCTGCCAATGTGTGCCCACCCCCCCGCGACCCCCCCACCGCGCCCACACCGCCCACACCGCCCACACCGCCCCCACCACCCACACCGCCCTCACCGCCCTCACCACCCCCACCACCTTCATCGCTTTCACCGTTCCCACCGTCTCCACCGCTCTCACCGCCCGCTGTATTTGTAGGTGTTTAAAGAGTAAAGAGTACTTAAAGGCTGCCAATGTGTGCCCGGACCCCCCCGCGCCCACACCGCCCCACACCGACCGCCCCCACCGCCCACACCGCCCTCACCGCCCTCGCCACCCCCACCACCTTCATCCCCCTCCACCGCTTTCACCGTTCCCACCGCCCGCTGTATAGATTAAAGAGTAATTAAAGGCTGCCAATGTGTGCCCGGACCCCCCCGCGCCCACACCGTCTCCACCGCTCTCACGGCCCGCTGTATTTGTAGGTGTTTAAAGAGTAAAGAGTATTGGCTGCCAACCCGGACCCCCCCGCACCGCCCCCACCGCCCCCACCGCCCCCACCGCCCACACCGCCCACACCGCCCCCACCGCCCCCACCGCCCACACCGCCCAACCGCCCACACCGCCCCCACCGCCCCCACCGCCCACACCGCCCGCCACACCGCCCCCACCGCCTACGCCCACACCGCCCCCACCACCCCGATCGCCCCCACCGCCAACACCGCCCCCACCGCCCTCACTACCTTTATTGTCCTCACTGCCCGCCCCGGCTTTGCGATGCGCCGCCGCGCGCGCGACTTTTTTTTGTCGTACCATCCCATGGCCAGAACTGCACTGGTTCCGTATCTTAAGCATATCGAATACAGCCCTCCTGCTAAACTCGGTTTTGTGCGGATGCCTTTTGCCTCTGAGTCACAAGGTTGCTGAAACATGCGCACACAATGTCCGAGAGCTGAGCACTGCGTCAGTCCGAATACTTCGCCGCATCAGTCATGTGCTCATGCTACTCGTGCCAGTTACAAGACTTGCAGTGGCTGCTTTCAACACCTGCTGCGTTCCTTGGAAGTCACCTCTCTTCTTTTGGGGTCGGCGGCAGTGGCGGCAGCCCATAAATCGGGCAGCGCTTCGCTGCCCTGTATGGACTGAGCTATGGCTCAGACGAATGAGCTTCGTCTGCGAAGCAGAAGCCACGACCGACAGTGCCGCCGACCCGCCCCGAACCCCGCATCATCGGACCCTCGTTTCTCCCTCGGGCCGCGCGGGGCCTGGCCCGAAGGCGTCTCGGAACGCGCACGCGTTTTGCAGCCATTCCCCGCGGTGTGGCGGGTTTCGGGGCCGCCGTGGACGACGCCAGGAGGCGAGCCGGCGAGCATCATGAGCCCTCGGGCGCCCGCAACCGGCGCCGGCGGCGCGACGTGGGCGCGAAGTCATAACTCCCAAGTTTTTGAGTGGGTTGCGGAAGCCGCCAAAGGGCGCGCATCATGAGCATCAGCGGGGTCCGGCGGACGGGGGGTGCGGGCTACATGCAGGGCCGACGGGGGCTGAGAGCCTACGATCACCCACAAGTTGCGCACTTCGGGCCTACGATGCACTTATCTATATACCGCGGGTTTCTGACAACAGCTCGCGCTGCCCGCACCTGGGCGCAGCCCCTAAATATATCCCTTAAAGGAGCCCCCAGAGGCCCTCCGAAGCCCAGAGACTCCTCCGGGACTCCCGGCCGAGGGCTCCCGCGATGCGCGCCTTGAGCATGGCGGCCGAGATGAGGCTCTGGTCCTGACGGCTTTGTAGGGGGGTTCCTTATAAAATTATAAGGGTCCCTTTAAAAGGGTTTATACGGTTTTTAGTGGGTTCCTTATAAAAGGGATCTATAAAGGTGCCTGAAAATGAAGGGGTTTATTGGTCCTGACTGCTTTTAGGGGGGTTCCTTGTAAAATTATAAGGGTCCCTTTGAAGGGATCTATATTGTGACGGTTTGTGAAGGGTTCCTTATAAGTTATAGGGGTCCCTTTAATTTAAAGGGATCTATATTATGACGGTGTTTAGGGGGGTTCCTAAAGGGATCTTTTGGAGGGTTCTATAAAGGGGCTTAGGGGCTTAGGGACGGCTTTTAAGGGGTTCCTTATAAAATTATCAGGGTCCCTTTAAAGGAATTTATACGGATTTTAGGGGGTTCCTTATAAAAGGGATCTATAAGGGTCCCTGAAAAGGGATCTATATGAGGGTTCTATAAAGGGGCTTAGGCGTTTAGGGACGGATTTTAGGGGGGTTCCTTATAAGTTATAAGGGTCCCTTTAAAGGGATCTATATAGGTTCTGTAAAGGGGTTTATAGGGGGTTCCTTATAAAAGGGATCCATAAGGGTCCCTGAAGAATGATTTTTTGTGAGGGTTCTATAAAGGGGCCTATAGGGGATTGTAGAGGGTTCCTTATAAAAGGAATCTATAAGGGTCCCTGTAAAGGTCACTGAAAAGGGACCTATATATAAAGGTTTCAGGTTTCTAGGGGGTTCCTTATAAGTTATAAGGGTCCCTTTAAAGGGATCTGAGGGTTCTATAAAGGGGCTTATAGGGGTTTAGGGATTTAGGGGTTTAGGGCGGTCGTTGGGCTTATCGGATTTTAGGCTCTTTGCGTTCGGGGGTTACAGTCCAGAAATTATAGGGTTTGGTCATTTTGCCGGAATTAAGGCATGAGGTTCAGGCTTAGGCGGGGTTAAGGTCCAGAAATTACAGGGTTTTGGGTTTAAACTTTAGGGTTTAGGCTTAGGGGCATTGGATGGCCTTGCCATTGTATACTTCTGGCCAGGGTTTAGGGTGTAGTAATTTGGGGTTTAGGGTTTTGTACTTTGCGGGTTAAGGTTTAAGTGTTCGGGCTTTATAAGGTTTGGGGTATGGGCCAGGGCCTTAAAGGGGTGTTGCAGCCTTTCCTTCGTTTGTGTTCGGGCTTCATAGGGTCATAGGGTTGGGCACCCGGGTGCCGGAGGGCTTTGCAGAACTATGCTGGTTTCGAAATGAGTCGTATAGGGTTCCCAAGCAATTATGCGGATTTCGTAGCAGTCTTTGTGTCGGTTTATGGAACTCTCTTGGCTTTTCCCGTCTCAGTAGTCGTGGTCCTAGTCGTCGTAGTGTGCTGTAGCCTACATGGCCCCTTTGTAAGGTCAGTAAAGCTTTAGTTCGGGGGCTCTTAAATTGGGACCACACAACCCTAAGCCATTTTCTGAACATCCTTGATCCCTAAACCCTGAAACAGTCAACCAAATCCTGAAGTACTAAACCCCAAACACCGAACAACAACAATAAGGGTCCATGTGCCCAAACAGTATATACACTAGTCCCTATATGGATACTTTGGGGCCGAAGTATAACCTAGTTAGGCACATGGACCTTTAAACCCTAAATCCCAAAAGAGCCCGTAGCAGTAACGCCCAAAAGAACCTCCTTAAAGGAACCCATGGACCCTTAAACCCTAAACCCTTCTAGAGCCCTTATAGCAACCCTTAAAGAAACGCCCTTAAAGAGAACGTGGACCCTTACAGGGAAAGCGGAAAGAAAGGGTGAGAGCCGCCTCTCCGGGCGTGAACCACGTGAGACCTTTTGCCTGCAAAAGCGATGGAAGGCTTGGATTTAGGGTTTAGGGTTTTAAGATTTAGGGTTTTAGGATTCGGGGATTCAAGGTTTTAGGGTTTACTTGGGGGTTCATGAGTAGTTATAAGTAGGGTTATAAGCCCCCAAATATAACTCATATAAGTATAGTTGCCCTGCTGATCATCCCAATTATAACTACCCATGAACCTCCAACTAGGTTTTTAAGAGTTATAGGGTTTAGGATTGTGGGATTAAGGTATTAGGGTTTGGGGTTTCGGGTTTAGACTATGGGAATTATCGTATGTTCCTCATTATTGGTAATATGCAGGATTTATATCATCAACAGTAGGGTTCTAAGGGCTTCTTTAAGGGCCCCTTGAGGGCGTCCGTAAGGCTACAGGTTCTTCGGCTTCATGTGGTAAGGTTCCTTTAAGGGCTCAGGGTTTGCCTGTGGTCCCAGGCCAACCTTTTCAAGGAACTATATGGGAGGTTGCGAAAATAGGCGACCCTGATACAGAACCCTAACGTATTATGAGGGCCCCCCAAATTTGGTACCCTGATTTTCGCAAACTCCCATATGCAGAAACCATGATAAGAAACCCTCTCTTTTCGGCTACAGGTTAGAGTTGGTTTCCTACCCAAAGTGTCCGAGGTACTGCTATGGCGAGTACTATGAAACTATGGAGACCCTACTTTCTACCTTCCCTAAGAGACCATGCGCTCAACAAGTATATGTACTTTGGCTTCAAAGTAGTCCTCATTATAGGTACTTCGGGGGCGAAAGAGTATACTATTTTGGTTGGGGCTTTCCCGTTTCTAGTGTTAGATTCGGAGGGTTGGGTACATGTAGAGGCTTTAGAGCTGAAGCAGTTCTTTGGTGTAGGATGGCTCAGGATTTAGAGCCTTGTCTTGCCCAGAAACTCCAAAACCCATCAATTCAGGAATATACCTTAATTGATTCCTACTGTACCCTAAACCCTGAACCCTAGTATACTCCTGAATTAAAGGGTTTTGGAGTCTCTGGGTACTGCTTGGTGGTGACGGGCCGTGACAGGCTTTTGGCTGGGGTCTTCGGGGATTTGTCGGGCGTTAATAGGAATTTAGGGGTTTAGGGGTTTAGGGTTTCGGGGGAGCCTTGGAGATGTAGGCCCTCTCAATGAAGTCCTGGTTAAAGCCAGAAGCAGGGAGCAGCGTTAAGAAGGGTCCTCTTTACGGGGTCTCCCTAGTACTTAAAGGATCATGGGACTTAGTAACTAGGGTTATAATTAGGGTAACTATACTTATAACTACTTATAACCCCAATTAAGGTACTTATAACCGTACTTGCTAAGTCCCATGATCCTCCAAGTAGGAGTTCAGCTCCCGCACCTGCCCGCGAGGGATCAGGGTCACCTTGTTGACAGGGTCATGGTACCTCAGCGACCGGTCCAGAAAAGATCAAGCTTTTTTTTTGTACAGCAATTTGGTGGTTTCCGAAAATTAGGGGTCCCTTATCTTGGGGTCCTTACAATAAGGATCCTACCATTTACGGTATTGTATTAGGTTCTTTCAAGATTCGAAGCACGTCTACAGTCGTTTCCATGGGCCCATGAAAGGTTCCATAAGCGTATTTTGCAGGTTCTAGAAAGGGGCATTGCATGAGGACTCTACGGGTGATTTAAGGGTTCAAGTATTTCAGACGGCTTCCATCACGTTTTACTTTGACTGCAAAACCCTAAACCCTAAACCCCAAAAGACTTTCACCACGGTTTGGTAGAGTAAGGTGCTGTATGCACGCAAGCATAATTGAGCTACAAGCTCCAGAAGGCCAGCCCGAGCGATGATGTACGTTTTTCCATGTATATAAATAGGGGTGTATTAATAGTGCGTCACAGTATAGACGCAGAGTGGAGTGTGCGTACATACATGCGAAAATACACATACATATACGTACATACATACATGCATACATACATACATACATACATGAATGCATACATACATACATACATACACATACATATATACATAATTACGACTATGTCCATTCCTCCATCCCTTCGTGCATGTATCCATGAGCCAGTGTTTGCGTATGTCATACACACACACACACCCATCGAACGCTTGAGGTCTGAATAAGAACTCACTCACGCTGGAAAACCTTGAAAGGATCGTCTTGACACCCAAGGTGCACACCCCAGAAAGACGAAGAGCCTGCACTGGGGAGTACTCTCACCAGCAAGGAAGCCACCTAAACCCTAAACCCTAAACCGACTTAGGAACCCGCGAGTCGAGGCACTGCTTGAAGGACTCACCCAACGGCTTCGCCCAAAACCTAAGAATCTAATCCTTTATCCCTCACCCTAGAGCACCAAATCCCTAACTTTACAACCCTCTTACCTTCCAGAAGGGTCCTAAGTGCCTATATAGTAGAGAGTAGCGTTTGTACAGTAGGACATACCATTACGATTTGGGGAAGCATCCCCCATAACTGTACCTATGAACTTGTGGGCGCAATGTAGAACCCCATAAATTACAGATATATCCCTTAGAGAATCCGTTAAGGATCGCCCCCAAATTATAGAACCTTATAATACTTATAATACTTATAGTACTTACAATACTTATAATACTCTAGACAGCTCCAACCCTTTAAGGACTCCTTTAAGCGGACCTGTTTTCACCCAGGGCCCTTCAGAAGACCTTAAGAGGTGGCCACCGAGGAGCGGCAGCAGCGTGCCGACGATCGCATGCCCTGCTTCGTGGTAAGCCTCAGCTCGGATGTACGTTTACAAAGTTCTTAGGTTTTAAGGTTTAGGGATTTGTTTGTTTCTATACATACATTTACATACATACATATACATATAAGTATATGTAGATGTTTATTGAACTTCTTAGCTATTGATACTGTTGTGTACGGACATACGTGCACACGTACCAACATACATACGTACAGACAATACACGTATGGGTATGTACGCAGTTTGGGGTACAGTTCAGGGTTCGGAGCCTGACCTGCTGCGGGACTGCAAGAAACCACATTCCAGTTGGGTCCGATGCATACACCCTGAAACCCTTATGAAGCCCAACGAGTATTGGCTTGATTATTGGGTCCTTTGCACTCCCCAAAGCTTATTTACCTACCCTCAAGCCCACGCTATATCCGCCTAAGGGGGTCCTTTATGGGGTCTACAGGGATGTTGCTCGGGCTCACCCGTTGCCCTTAACCCTGTGTCCAAATAGTCTAGAACTCCTCCCCCAACAGATACGCGAAGGGTGCTAAGTACCGAACAAGCAGAATGTGTTTCGATTGTCGGAATTACTATGATGGTTTAGGGAAGTATCCCCCATCACAGTATCTACAGTAGGACCTTAGGGGCAATATGCCACCCTATAATGGATCCCTTACAGAACCCTGTAAGGATCCCTTTAACGGGGCTCTATTCATTATAGATCCCTTATCTCATCGAACCCTTTAAGAATCCCTTTGAAGGGGCCCTGTTATAGATCCCTCATAGAACCCTTTAAGGATCCCTTTAAAGGGGCGCCATTATATAGATCCCTTATAGAACTCTAAAAAGATCCCTTAAGGAACCTAGGATCCCTGTACAGGAACCATAGGATCCCTTTTGAGGAACCCCACAATCCCGATAAAGGAACCCTAGGATCCCTTTGAAGGAACTCTAAGATCCCTTTAAGAGAAAGGATCCCTTTAAAGGGGCCCTAGGATCCCTTTAAAGGGGCCCTAGGATCCCTTTAAAGGGGCCCTAGGATCCCCGTTAAAGGGGCCCTGTTGCGATGGCCAAGGCGCGATGAGCTTCTTCGCTGCGTTGTCCTGCAAGGCGCGGCCCTCCAATCCGGCGATGACCTGGGAGCTGAAGATCATAGGGATCCTTAGGGGTGTAGGGGGAGCGGGGGGTAGGGGGCCTTAAGGCCCATAATAAGGACTAATAAGGCCTATTTAAGGAAATATAGTCCCCTACACCCCTCCCCCCTACACCCCCAAGGATCCCTATGAGAAGACTCTGCCGGCTTTCTTCAAAAAGGAATCCTTTGAGGCTTCCTTTAAACAGGGTTCGTTTAAGGCTTCCTTTCAAAAGGGTTCCTTTATGGCTTCCCTTAAAAGGGTCCCTTTAAGGTGTCCTTTAAACGGATTCCTTGAAGGCTTCCTTTAAACGGGGATCAAGAGAGCACCTATAAGAAGGCTACCATAATCGGGATATGGTTTAGGGTTTTAGGGTTTTAGAGTTTAGGGGATTAGGGTTTAGGGCTGTGATGTGGAGGCCCTAATAATGAGAATAGGGGTTCCTTTGCGGCTTCCTTTAAGCTTCTACAATCTTAAAACTCTGCTGCTCTTTCAAGCTCCAGCCTCCGGATAGTAGGGAGGTTAGGATCCCAGGTAAGCTCGAAAGAAAAAGGCCTAAACCCTAAACCCTAAACCTTAAACCCTCCCTTTCTGGTCTTGGTCAGTTTTACAAGGAACCTATCACCAGAAAATAGGGAAAAAGAGCTCACCGGGTAGACCCAGGAGGGTTTTAGAGTTTAGGGTTTAGGGTTTAGGGGTTTAGGGTTTAGGCTATAATATTAAAGGTGCTCTAGGACTCTTTGGGAAAAGAGCCTCAGGGACTGGCGACCGGCAGGATGACACGTGGGAGAAGCGTGTTGCCGACGTATTCGTAAAGCTTCTTAAAGGAACCCTCATGGGTACCCTCAAACACCCTTAAAAGGAACCCTCAATCTCAACGCGTCCCCTGCCCCCCCTTAGAACCATACCGAAAATACCAGTCTTAATGTTCTCTGGGGTTTGTATGAACAAGAAAAGCTAGTTGCTGAGTCTGTATGAACAAGAAAAGCGCTGAGTTCATAAACCCCCAACAAGTGTACACTTTCAGTTTTATGGTGGATAAATATAGTCCCCAAAAAATGTAAAGTGGATTCCTAAGGAGACCCTGGGTCCTAAAAATCCTACATAGTAGACTGTAGGTCTTCTATTGCAGAATGTAGGGCCGCTACGGTAGAACGTAGGTTTCCTACAGTGGAATGTGGGGTATCTATAGTAGGAATCATTTCTATACTATAGTAGGAATCATTGCTATGACTTGGGGAGGTGTCCCCCGTGATAATACCTAGGACCTAAGGACCCCTTTGTCTTTTCGTGCTCAAAAACAAGTGCGGCTGCCATGTACAACATCTTCCGTGCCCTCGGAAACACACTGAAACAGACCCTGTTGGTGAGGGCCAGTCCCGATCCGTGGCATCGTTGATTTCATCCATGCTGATGGCCTGACGCGGCGTGCAGATCATAGGCAATTTAACGGGCTTCGTATGCCTGAAACGGTGGTTCGGGTTTCAATAACGACGACCACCAGTGTAAGCATGTCGTTTGCTTCTTGTTCTGGGTCCTCCGCGACGATGGCAGTCTGCTAGGAAGGCTCGTTGCCGCGAAGATCAAAGATTGCGGAGATCAGCCGAAATACCACAGGTTCCTTAAGAAGTAGGTAGAACATGGATGAACAGGGTTTGATGGTATATTATACAACAACTGTAACAAGGAGCCCCTCAAGAATAATGTTGGCAACTATTTCAGCCCTTAAGTACTGGCAAACGCGCAGGGAGTCCTGCCAATCACACAAACTCGAACCCTCAAAAACCAAACTCCGAAAGCCGGTATCACCTGAACCCTAAACCCTAAACTTTCCTAAACCCCTAAATAACAAAAGCCCCCACCCCCAAACCACAAACCCCGAGCTCCTCTCCAGTGAACCCAAGGATCCTGTTGCCTTAGGCAAGAAATTCAATCCCAAGAGGGTCCTAGGTACTAAAAAAGGGTCCTTTTAAATTTAAAGGGATCCTTACAGGGTTCTACAAAGGATCCGTACAAGGGTTCTATATTACGCCTTGGAGGTCCTACATAGGAACTAAGGGATCCTTACAGGGGTTCTATCAGGGATCTATAAGAGGGTTCTAGGTTACGCCCAGGAGGTCCTTGGTACTGTTATAGATATGGTCCTTCTGGTGGATACGTTCCCCGATCATTGGAGAAATTCCTATAGAACCCTACATTCTGCCATTATGAGGTACTTTAGGACACTGTGGGAAAGATACTACCGCAAACCGTAGAATCGGGATCCGCCTCTTAAAGGGGATGCTTGGGGACCGTGTCTATGGTACCGCCCTTAAGGGTCCATGCACCTAGTTATTCAAGGCAATGTAATGACCTATACTTATACTTACCACTATCCTTGAGCACCTGTGAACCCACAAGATGCGTCAAACAATCGCGGACACTTTCATGGATACGCAGAACCGCCGATGTCTTTGGGTTTGGCCACATCGGTTTTGAGACTTCACTTCAAAAAAGTATGACGTCTAGAAGTCAAGTCAAATGAAAACCATTTGGGAGCCATGGCTTGACTGCAACATAAAGCCAAAAGGTTTACGACCTACCGAAGGATCAATTCTTCAGAGATCCCGATACAAAGAAACATAACCGACAAAAACAATCGTAACCAAAACGTTGGTCTACAAGCATGCACCGTAGCTGGCGCTGTACCTTGTGAGGACTGTTCCTGCCTAAGCCACCGCGTATTTACAGGTCCCCGAAACATTACGCTTATGCAATATCATACGACAATCACGCGTAGTACCTTAAAAAGATGCTGATCTCTCAGAACTCCTAAACCGTATATACCTTGCACCCTAAAACCCCTAAACATCAGTTTCCATGAGCTGCCAGTGCCGCACCTGCCTTCTTGTTGCGGCGAGCAGCCCTCGGACGAGGTGTCGGAGTCATAAGGGCAGGACACCCTAGCGCTAACCTGAAAAGCTTATGATGCCTGCCAAACTTGAAACCCCAGCCCCCCCCGGCCCCAAAACGCTGAAAACCCTGAAGCCCTAAACCCGAAGCCCTGAAGCCCCAAAGCCCCAAGATCAGAACCCCCTGCAAACCCTATACCCCTCATACCCTAAGCCCCTCATACCCTAAACCCCTTATACCCTAAACCCCTCATACCCTATACCCCTCATACCCTAAAACCTGACAAAAGCCCGGTTGAGGCAATGGGCTTGGGGTTCCCTGGGCTCTTTAGCTCCTTATTCAATAGGGATTATCATCATCCCTGGCTCCTTGGCTCCTCCAATATCAAAGCTTAGCTACTATATTGGGATTATATAAACCCTAACCTCATAGGGGGTATGGTATCCCAAAAAGCTTAGAGGTAACCTACTCTGAGGCAATGGGCAGGATGGCGGACTCGTTCATGAGGTTCTCGAGATCAGCGCCGGAGAATCCTGGGGTGTGGGCGGGGCTTAGGGCGTGAAGGGTTTAAAGTAGAAGCCCAAAAGTTGGAAACCCCATAGCCTCAATCCTTAAGAGCAATGTATAGGGAATCCCAGCACTATTTGGCCTTAATCCGGCTTCCAACTTTACGGGGTTTACAGTAGGGCTTTATGCGGCTTTCGGAGTTGCGGATTAAGGTCTGGCAGTTTCGGGTTTACGGCTTAGGAGTTTACGGTTTAGGGGTTTAGGATTTTGGGTTTAGGCTTCTAGGGTCTTAGGTTTCAGGGTTAGGAATTTGAGGCTCTTGCACTGCTTAAGGTCCGGGTTTTACGAATATTTCAGGAATGACTTACTCAGGGACTCCCATATCTCTCATTGAGGAATGAAACTTAAATCATGGTAGGGATCCTACTATAATTTAAGGCATATTCCTTAATTAAGGGATGTTGGAGTCTCTGGGTTTCGCGAATGACTTCGTCAGGATTGGTAAGGCTTTATGGGCTGCAGGGTACAAACTGGGTTCTCGGATCGCCAGATTCAAAAATACATGCAAAAAACAGTCCTCCCGCCATGACCACATGTAGAGTAACGAAGTGGGAATACCGAAACAGGGCACCGTTTTCCAGTTACCAACGTCTTGGTGTTTGATACACCCTCATTGTAACGGTCCATGTACCTATGGACCATATCTCGCCTGTACTGTGGCCTTAAACGGGCTCCTGCCCTGATACTGTCGACAAAAGACCTGTTTACCATACAGACTTAGTATCAGAGTCTCACAAGGTTTAGGACAGTTTAGTTTAGGAGGGCGTTAAGAAGCAGAAAGCGTTACAAAGAGACTTGAGGAATGACATTCCAAATCAAGATTGTCAATGTATAGCCTGGGTCTGAAAGGCTTTTTGCACCCGGCCGCACCCAATACCAAGAATTCGAGGAATGCATGTACGCTCCTTGGGCTTCACCTTGCCTCAGGGCCTCAGGGGGTTTTGCTCATCGTATAGGGGCCTTATCATTGCGTCGGGTTTGGGGTTACGGCAAGTGTGTGGAGCCTTCCCGGGGCTTATTGCAGATAGAATAAGGTTTCGGGATATATTCTTGGCTGACTGCTGAACCCCTCCTAAAAGCTAAACATTTAAGCCTCCTTACTATAGTTCATATAGAAACCCAAAAAGTTAAAGTCTAAAGAGCCAACCAGAAGAACGCCAAGTATTGTCGTACTCCCTCTATCCGGCGTTGTGGAACTTTGGGTTACCCTATTCGCCCCCTAGAAAGGGGAAAGAGCCTGCAGTGCGCTTGGCAATGTCCATCAGCGTGATCTCTCCATCCAACTTCCTTGGCATGCTTGCGGACTGACCCATTTCCCTATTGAAAGGGTGAACCCTGCAACCTTGGGGAGTTTGGGTGTCAAGGCTTAGACTTTCGGGCTTCTTTTGGGATATTGAAGCCGCACACACCCTCTCTCTCTCTATCTCTCTCCCTCTCTCCCTCTCTCTCTCTCTCTCTCTCTCTCTCTCTCTCTCTCTCTCTCTCTCTCTCACTCTCTCTCTCTCTCTCTCTCTCTCTCTCTCTCTCTCTCTCTCTCTCGCTACAACATAACATAACATATCTATATATATATATATATAGAGAGAGAGAGGAGCAACGCTTATGGCTGGTGCAAGCACAGGGCTTTTGGACCAGTCAAAAGCTATGATAGCATAGTTTGCTAAAGCAACAGGCCAACTTAGGGCTCTGTTTTCTCTAGCCTATTCTAAGTAGTAAGTCGCTATAACTAATTATGTTAGATATCCTCACCAAAGCGCGAACCTCCAGACTTCTAGACTGGTTGTATGCACCCTGCAACTCGAAACCCTGAATCTACGTCGAGCTCTTGTGTCTAGTCTTACAACCTCCGTCTCGGAATTCATTGGTCAGAGCACCATCCTTTCAATATCGGTCAAGATGAGCCGTGCCGACTGATCATCGCAAGAACTGCAGCTAACCGAGGCGCCTTGATAATCAACATATGGTTTTTGGTATACATTCTACTACAATAGAGTAAGGAGCCCAGAGGGAATAACTTTGCTAATTATTCAGACCCACATATTATAGCTGTGCTTGGGGTTTGGCACGGACTCGGGTTTGGCATCATCGGCAATGGCCACTGGGGGTTCTATAAGATGATATAGTATTACAGAGGTCTCAGTATTTTGAACAACCTTTCGGTGTATACGGCGCCATAACCATGTTACAAAATCTCTAATACTATTCAGAACTCTATACTAAACCTCACACCAGTCTGTCTTAGCACCCATCCCGCCTTGGCCTTGATCATCCTCTCACTAACTCCGGAATCTCAAAACCCGGACCAAAGCCGTTAAACTGTAAGGCCCTATCCCTGAAATTTCCCATTATGACACGCATAAAGCCCCGTGGTGTTGCCCTCCACCAAGCATCTTGTTCTTGACGTGGACCTGCCCATGCATCGGCAGCAAAACCCAAGGCCCTAAACCGCAAAACAACATCCCAGACATGTCTTGTGATAAGGAATTCAATCTGAGCCATAAACTTTTCCTAAACCTCTCACCCCGAAGCAAAGTACCCAAACAGCATCCCGCAACACGGAGGCCTTGAACCCGCAAACTCCCACAGTCCTAAACTCATCTTTGGGTGGTCCTTACCATCCAAATGGAAAAGACAGACTTAATGTACTGGCAATCTCATGGCCTTGAATGACAGCACAAACAAAGCCCATCGCTCCAGGTCTTGTCGTTTCAAGCCTGAGCCCCTCTGTTTTGTCGTGGTTGTTGTCGTTCTGCTTGCTGTATTGCAATCTCATACCTTGTTGTTGTCACCGGGGTTTCAGGGTGCATAGCCTTAAGACCCAGCACCTCCAAGACTCTCTAGCACCCCACCCCCTAATGCTCGCGCTCCAAGCCGCAAAACTCTACAATCGACTGTCTCCTTGTACTTGGAGGATCATGTGACTTAGTAAGTAAGGTTATAAGTACCTTAATTGGGGTATATATGCAATAGTTCTAAGTATAGTTACCCTAATTATAGCCCTAGTTACGAAGTCCCATGATCCTTTAAGTATGGTTGGCTTAGGGATCCTTTTCTTTGAGGGTTCATGGAGGCTTGAGAGTTTAGGGCTTACCCGGACCCTGAGGAACCTACCTTTCTAGGGCCCTCTAATATGATTTCTTTATATAAGTCCCTGGAAAGGTAGGTTATTTGGGGTTAAGGTAGGGTTTAGAGTTTCGGGATGTGGGCGACGACGGCACGGTTTAGGTAGGGCTTGGCATAGGGCTCAGGGTTTACGGTTTACTGGAGGGCTTGGGGTTTGGCGTTTAGGGGGATATAAAGGCCTTACTGATTAGACTAGGGTTTTGGGGCCCATCATGCCAAAATTAGAATAAAGAACCCCCCAAGATAGTATTGGCAGGTATTTCGGCCCCTCTAGTACGTGCTTAGAGGAAGTGGACGCTCCTCCGACTCACTAGCCAGCTTAATCTCTACCATCGTATCTCAAGTTACTTGGGCTCTGAATAACCTAGCTTTGCAAGGACTTGGACAGATGAGGAAACCATAATCGTAATCTTAAACCCTAAACCAGAATAAGGAACCCTAAACCCTAAACCATAATAAGGAACCCCAAACCCGAAACCCTGAACCCCTAAAAAGGATGGTTTTAGGGCTCCTTAACAAAGGAACCATAGGGACCCTAAGCGGGGGTACGGGGCCTTAATGCCCATAATACGGCCCCAAACCCAAGAGTCTGTTCTGATGGCTGAAGATTCCTTGGCTGACTTCTGAACCCCTCCAAAAAGTTAAACTTTTAGCCTCCTTATTTTGGTTCATATAGAAACCCAAAAAGTTAAAGTCCTAAGAGCCAACCAGAAGAACGCCAAAAAGTGCCCAGGGAAAGGGCCTCCAAGATCTGGGCGCGTCCCTTGACATCTGGCAGGCCGACCTTTCAATGGGTTTAAGGTTTAGGGCTTAGGGTTTAGGGTTTAGGGATTTAGGGGTTTAGGGTTAGGGGTTTGAGGGTTTAGGGTTTAGGGATTTAGGGTGTAGGGATTTAGGGTTAGGGGTTTAGGGTTACAGAAAGGGCTACCATGGGGCCTGCGTTTGGGACACATCACGTTTCGCGGTTTCGCAGCGATTTGTTTCACATCATCTTGCTATCCTATGCTTGTATAAACAGTTCTGGGTTATTTACTGTATTGTTCGTACTTGTAGACATTTATGTCGCTTATCAATAATGTTGTTGTTTATAAGCAGGGCCTGTGTTTATAAACAGTGTCTGTGTTTATAAGCATGGCTTGTGTTTATAACCAGGGCTGGCGTTTACAAACTAAGATGAAAGAGGGGGGGGGGGGGGGGGGGGGGGGGGGGGGGGCTGAGGGTTTGGGGCTGACATGTTGAGACCTGCTACCCCCTCCCCCCCCCCCCTGAGATGTAACCTGGACGTGTATCCCCTCGCTAGGCGTACAGGAACACAGGCACTCAGGTGTCTCTTTTGCTACAGGCGCACAGCTGTAGTCCACTGCACTAGAACCTTGAGCAACAGGCATGGATACATGCAAGTGATACGTGAAACAGACAGGCACCTGGATGTGTAACATTCAGTGTTTCAACCAGGCACAAATTTAAAACACGTAGAGCTGCATGGCCGTGGAGTCGGCAATCTACAAGCCTGTTATTGCTCTTGGTCGAATTAGCGGAGTATTGAGCTACATCTGCGACTTGAAGAGAATCTATACATCTCTAGCCTGAAGACAGCTTCAATGAAAAGAGCAGAACACGCACGAAACGCAAACGGATCTTCAACTGAAAACTTTTGCTTGAAAGTTGCCCACTTGTGTTTCAGTTCCCTCTCCAGGCGGAAAGCATACTGTAACATAAAGGTGTAAAGCTTAGCTTTACTTGATGCCAGCATGACATCTTGCGGCAAGGCAAATATATAAGGGCATTAGAAGTATCTTATCCTGAGATAAGTATCTTCCTTTGAGAAAGAGTTCTTTAGGAAGTACCTTTTCCTGAGAAAAGCATCTCCCTATGAAATGGCGAATGCTCAAAGTGGATACCTTCTTATGAAAGAAGCATTCCGTGAAACACACAGCCAGTTCAGTCGACGAACTCTAGGTCTGCATCCCAGGTTCTATCACGCCAATGATCCTCACCATGCCAACGGTAGATGTCGACAGTGTGAATCGGCATCACCGGCTGATGACGAACAGGGTCGTAACCGCGGGGATCAGCAGGGGATCTAGGTAGCGATATCTGTGGATCTGGAGCAACGTCTCCAACTTGTTCCAAAGGAACTTCTTCAGAACCATTGTCCATATCCACGTCCGAAGAATCGGAACCTAGTCAGTTCTTCCCCTTGTTCTTGCCCTTGGACTTGTCCTTGGATTTGCCTTTGGACTTGCCCTTGTCGGCGTCCTTGCCTTTTCCTTTGGAGGACTTGCCTCCTTTGCCGCCTTCTTTGCCACCAGGAGGTTGTGCGGGTTCTGGAGGACGTTGAGAACCAGAAGCTTTAGCACCAGAAGCTGCCTCTTCCTGAGAAGAGCTTGCTCCCTGTGGTGCGGCTGCAGGACCAGTAGAACCAGAACCACGCGCCTTGTTCAGCTTCTGTCTCTCTTTTCTTCTGTCCGCGGCTTCCTTCATGGTGTCGGGATTGCGGTTGAGCGCTCTCATCCTGCCTCCAGAGTACTGGTTCGCGTGAACCTCGATGAGGAGCGGAGTGTGAGCGTCATAGTCCCGATCGTTGAGAAGGTACGCGGCGCTGGTGGAGTTTAACAGCCACTCAGAGACATGGATGTCGAACTCATTCTTTGAAGACGGAAACTCCGCCCATTGATCGTCCGACATGCTGTGTCCCCATTCCATGACTGTAGCCATAACAGGATCCAAACCAGGAAAAGTATTCCAGTCTGGTTGCTTAGCTTCCTTGTATGGCATTCCCAGCGTGTCCTCATACTGTTTCAGAAGCCACATGGCGTTTGCTGACACATGTCTCGCACGAGGCGAACAGAGGTGTGGGCACTTTGGGCTTTCTGACCATGCCTCCAAGAAGTAGTCGAGAAGGCTTTGGTACATCCCGCCACGAATATCCATCGACTCCTGCTTTCTGCCGGTGGCCCGGTAGAGGGCCATGTTGGCGTCGCCACCGATGAGGTCGACTTGGTAGTGCAAGCAGTCGATGAACATGTTGCCCAACACTTCATGAGCCAACGCCACCTTGTCTGCCGCCGCGTCGTTGTGGAGGTGGAAGACACAAACTCTCAGCCGGTCGGATCCAGCTCGCTCCAAGACCTTGGTCAGTGACTCATCTGGAACATCACCACGACTGCCCTGGAGACCGGTCGGTAACGTCATGCCATACACGATTTCCGCGACCATATAGGTTATTGGAAGGGACTCGTGGGCATATCCACTGAGAGTGGAGCCGGCAAGACGGGTGATCGAAGATCCGACACCATTTGTACGACTTCCCACCATCAGGTCCTTGGACTCGTTACGAAGGAATTGCCAACCGCGTGACTTGAGGAAGGCCTCTTCGGAGTCATCGATCTGAGCCGCTTCGCAGAGCATGAACAAATGCGTCTTCGACTGTGCAATCGATTTTATCAAGGCTCCTTTAGATGGTGTAGCATCGTCCCAGTCAATGTGATCAGCAACGGAGCGAGGAGCGGTACGCTTTCTTCCCCTGCTCATGTTGCCGAGATTGAGGATGAGCGCGGCATACTTGGTCTTGCTGGTGAAGATAGGGACATTGGAGTCCTCTGCCAGACCAAAACGATGAATATAAGGATTCGGCGTCTTCTCAAGAGAGAGGTCCCCGATCTCCTCTTCATCGACTCCGGCGCTCAAGAAGTAGTGAATCATAGCATTCAAAAGTTCTTCTCGAGTTGCCGGATTGCCGCTTGCATCCAGGGACTTCAGCTTATCAAGAAGTGCTTCCATGACTTCCAGTGCTGATTCTCGGATGTCAGAGGCCTTGCCCATGAGCTTGTCGTCCAAGGTGCTACGAACGTCCCCAGAACGAAAAGCAACGTTCTTCTTGTCGGGACGACGCTCATAGATGGGATCCATCTTGTTGAGTTGGTCGAATAGATCCACCATAGAGAGAGAGTATTTCTGTCCCTTGTGGTTTGGAACATTTACCCTCCAACTCATATGCTGCACCTTGTAGGCGAGAACGGGCTCGTAATCAGGATCACGAAGTCCTGTATGATACAAGCCTGAATAGCCATATCCATGCAGCTGCTTGCAGAGCATCCGCATAGGGCTTTGTCGTTCGATTTCGGTGAGCTGCGTAAGGAAATGTTTGAACTCTTCGAGATCGACGAGCTCGATCTTTTCCTTTGCTTTGCCCATCTTGTCGAACGCGTTCTCATTCTGGTCCTCTGCATCCTTCGCGGCCTGGTAGTACTCAGGATCCGGAACAGTCTTGCATTTCCCCCAGATGCCTTGATCGTGAAGTTCACTTTCATCATCCTTCTCGGGAGAAATGTCTGGCATGGATTCCTCACCCTGTGGTGAGCCTTCCTCAGCCATTTCGACGTTCTCGGACTTACCTCCTTCCTGACCCATGTGCGCATCAGGTTCGACCTTCACCTCGGATGCCTCTCCCTGTGGATAGCTTTCCGTGGCTTCGGTCTTCTGTTGTGGAACATCCACCCCAGATGCCTCCCCATGTGGAGAGCTTTCCGGAGCGTCCGTCTCCATTGGCTCGACAGTAACCCCAGATGCCTCTCCCTGTGGAGAGCTTTCTGGAGCTTCAGTCGATCCAGACGACGGTTCGGAGGTATCCATCTGAGTAGCCGCGGGAGGTTCCTCGATCTCCTCGATCTGTGGACATGGGAGTCGCTCGATGAACTCCTCGATCATAATGTCGTCGTATGGTCGAGTGAGGAGCTCATTCAGCTCAGACTCCTTCTTCGCCTTCAAGTCTTCGTACGCCACTAAATCAGCTTTTGCCTTGCGGGCGAAAGCCGACTTGAAATCGCGCTGGTCAGACTCCGTGAAGACTTTCTCCAGAACCGCCAGGAGGTAGCTGCCGTTGAACGGCTGCTTCAGGGTACTGTCATAGAGACAATAGCCCTCAGGGGTTCGCACCGTGTATTTACGGCGAACCTCCAGATCACCGGCGTGGCGCTGGATGTAGGAGAAGAAGTCCACTCCATAGGCCTCATTGATGACGCGGACGAGCATCTGGAAATCCTCTCGCACATAGCCAACCTCTTCATACACATACCTTTCCCTGAGGAAAGCCTTGTGTGCGGCGAGCTTGCGAGAGTAGTCGGGATCCTCTGTCCTTGGCATCCTTGCACGAGAGTCATTTTCCCGAGGGCGATCGAATCCAATGTTACCCAAATTGGGCCTGAATTCGTTCGACGCGGCAACGGAGACATCGTCCAGCATCTGGGCAAGACCGCCAGGATGACGCTTAAAGTTCATCCAAGGTGACGTGTAACCGTTGGAGTAAACCTTCGGTTTCTTGTCCAGCTCCACGAGGTAGTTCCCCTGCAACTTCCCCATCTCGAAGGCCTTGAGGAAGAAGTGCAGGGAGTACCCCGAAAGAGGATGCTGCAACCACGATGCCCAATCGTATTCACCACCCAAAGACTCTCTCATAGAAGTAGTCAAAGTGTGCCAGGGGGTGACCTGAACGAGGGCATCGCCATAGGTGCTAAGCATCGGCTGGCCAGAGGAGTCCACCATGTGCAACTTGCCGTGAGCGAAGAGATGCCATGGATTCGTCCGGGCCTTGCGGAGAACCTCGTTGAGCTCCTCCTGCTGCTGGGACTTATGCGCATCAATCTTGCCGTGGACGGTGTCCCCAGACTGATACGCATACTTGGTGTCTCCTTCGGAGGCTGTGGCTTGCCGCTCCCGCTCTGCCTTAAGCTCATTGTCACGAATAAGCTTCTGGAGAGCTGCCGCGTCCAATGTGGGTACCTT